TGGTGAAATTATTACTTAATAAGCAACAACACGACGACTGTCCAGCATCATGTAGGTAAAAACTTTTAAAGGTGGAGTATGTTGTTTCTTCCATTAAGAGTCTCTCAATCAAAAGACCAAGTTTGACAGTGTTGTGACGAAGTGTGAGATCGTGGTAGTTGCCTTCGTCTTTGCCTTGATTTCAGTCTAATTACATAACATCAAATAACGCTAACGTAATGCTAATTGCCAGCTAGGGCATGGAGTAGTCATATGTTTGGTAGCACAAATCCTGATTTGTTTTCTGACTGGCCTGGACTTTTGTGGCATCACTGCCTTGTTCTCTTTCCTCATGTTTTCCATCGATCACTATTTAATAAAGGCCAAAAAATGCAAAAAGTGTTTTTAATTGCCGACTCACCATTACATACTGTTGCTATAGCGGTCTTAGATTCTGGTTTGTTCGCATTTCTTTAACCCAATCAGAGTCATCTGGAGCGGTGCTAAGCTCAGGCTGCAGCCTTAGTGTTGCTGCAAAACAGTGACAAACTAGTGATTTGGTGCAACATTTGCATTAACATGGATAATTCACTGAAAGCTGACCTGCCTCACTGCATGATCCAAATCTTCAGGTGGCCATGTTCAGTGAGCTGATCGCTGCTAGGAGGTTGTTGTTTCCTGCAGCAAAGGGGGTTTTGAAAACAGCAACATGCAGATAGAGGGAGGAATGAAAATGACTCACATTTATAACGGATGTCAACATCTGGGGAGTCAGAACATCACCGCAGCTAACGTCATGTGGTGAATTCAGTTATTTAAAATAGTCAAAATAATCATTAGAAAGTAACTGTGATCCATCGTGACTTCTTCTTCTTCTTCCTTCTGCACGTTCTGACGTGTCATCCAGTGTTTACCTTGTTTTCTCGGTTGCTGCAGGTGAAGAAGATGTGAGTCACACTGGAAAGAAATCGAAGAGTTCATTTGCAAAAACAGAAAACTCCATTTTTGTAGATTTTCAGAATACTTTTTTTTGTTGTTGTCGTTTGCTTGAGATAACATCAATCAAACTGAAGCTGAGTGGATTTGACTAAAGCAGAGATAACTTAAGTTTGATTGATATTGTCTCAGGTAGACGATGGAGAAGTGGGTTTTCTGAAGGTGTGTGAAGATGGAGTTGTCTGTTTTTGCAAATGAACTCTTCAATTACTGACTTCTCTGAGTCTGAACAGTGCTGGGGACGTTTAGGATTTTACAAGTGAACAAGTCCATACATAGTTAAATACAAATATAACATTGGTCTAATTGTTTCAGGTCATTACACCTGTGCTTTTGATGTACATTAAACTAATTTACAGTATGTTTAAAAAAAATAGGTGTCAAGATTTCACCCACAGAAGTTACACTATTTGTTTATTAGGATGTGTTCAGAATCTTTATGCTAAGCTAACTGCTGCATCCAAGTTTTTAAGCAACACTACTCACAAAATCTTTCCTGTAGCAACGTGGATTTTGAAAACAATATCATGCAGATAGAGGGAATAAAAATGACGAATATTTACACCAGACGTCAACACCTGGGGAGTCAGAATACTGCTGCAGCTACGTTATGTGGTAAAGTTTTTAAGCAACACCATCCATCCATCATCTATCCACCGCTTAATCCTCACTAGGGTCATGGGGGGCTGGAGTCTATCCCAGCTGACTCAGGGTGAAGGCAGGTTCACCTGGACAGGTAACCAGTCTATCACAGGGCTACACTTAGAGACAGACAACCAAGCACACTCACATTCACACCTACGGACAATTTAGAATCAACAATTAACCTCAACATGTTTTTGGACTGTGTGGGAGGAAGCCAGAGAACCCGGAGAGAACCCACGCTGCACGGGGAGAACATGGAGACTCCACGCAGCCAGGACGTGAACCGGCGACCTTCTTGCTGCGAGGCAACATTGCTAACCACTGCTCCACCTTGCAGCCCTTTCCAAGCAACACCATTAACAAAAACTTTCTCCATCAGTGTAACGGTCAGCATGCAGATGTGAAATACTGTTTGTAGGTCGTGCTTTCCTCCAAACACCTCTGACACCACGTAGAACATCTTCTTGTGCTACATTTACTGTTTTCCTGGCAGCAATCGAGACAGAAAACGATGCCCTGATCCTGTCACTGAGGCTTTTAACTACATTCAGGATCCTCCACTGACTTAAAACAAACATCCCAAATTACAAAAAGAAAACCAGACCATTGGCTCGCCTGTTTTTTAATAATCTGTCCATCATGTGGGAAAAAAAAAATTTACCAACTGGGCTCTTCAAAATTTCCTCCACCTCCCCTCCTCACCCTTCCTCACCCACATCCGTGTGATGCTGGGCTGTCGGGCCTCACCAGCGACAGAGAGAGAGAGAGAAAGAGAAAGAGTCGGGGGGGAGGATGAGAAGGCTGCTGCTCTCTGACTGCGTTTATCAGAGTCTGGCATCGCTGTAATTTCAGTGTTCAGATGCAATCGCTCCCTACTCCCCTCAGGAGTAAACAATAACAAGCCCAAATACAATAGACAAACAAGGTCTGCAGGACATGTATGCACACACACACACACACACACACACACACACACACACACACATCAGCATGAGCGCACAGAAGCACACAACGCACAAACAATAATAAATGCAAACCAAGAACCTTCTGTTTTCCGTCTATATTTGGCAGCGACTGTTGCCAGGGACCAAACTTCAGTCTGCATCCACATGAGAGGCCACAAGACCTCACGTCAGGGATTAAATCAGAACGCAGCGTCGCAGTAAATTCACCAGAACTAAACCTATTGTCACGTACAGTTAACCAGGAATATAAAGTGTCACACACACTCTGAAGGGCCACTTTTGAGTTTTAACCACATGCAGGTTGTTGCTGTCTGATTGGGAAAAACTCACATTTCTTATCAGACAGCACAACCTGGTGGACACTCGGTGAACTGCAGGACACAGGTTTCTATTGACAAGTGTGTAGGAGTGAAAATGATTTGTAAAAGTGATTGATTATTGCCAGTAAATACTGGTAAAGTCTTTAAAATTGCACCAGAAGGTCATAACTTGATTGTTTTGCAATTATTTTCACAAATATTGCAACATAAGTCCAGATTTTTGTGTGACTAGTCTTGCTTTTTAATTTATTTTTTACCAAAACAGGAATAGAAATTAGATTTTTGCTGCCATCTGTCTGGAAAACATGATTTGTAGGCTGGGACATCTCTTAAAACATTCCAACGCTTCATTTATAACAGTATTTTGTGACACATTTTCCCTTTATCCAAAAAGAAATGCAGCTCAGCTTCACTCACTGCATTCTCGGTGTGATATTGAATTATTGTTCAGCCTTGTTGCTGATGAATGCTTTGCTCATGGAAAACAGATTTATGATCCAATAATTTACCAATAAAGAAAATCATGGGGCAAAAAATAAGCTGAATTTAATTGCTCAGTTTGGATTATTTTAAATATAAAACTATGAGAAAAATTAAGCTGACCTTATAAATAAAAAAAAAATCCAAAAATCCAAAAAGCGAGAATTTGTTTTCTAGCTACAGAAATTTGAGACAAAATTTAAATCTCAAATGCACAGTTTCAGCTTCAGTTTCCAGTAGATGTTTAAAAGCCTTTATAGTGAGCATAGATACAAAGTGTGGTCTACAGGAAGTCTCAGAGAAGGAAACAAACACCCAACTTTGCAGCGACACCGGTGAAGGAACAGTATTGAAGGTGGACAGGTGACATCGTGGCCGATAACCAAGGAGGAAGGTGAAAATCGGGTTTCTTTTTACCTTGTTGACACGTCCGTGTGGTGTTCGCTGTACGCTGGAAGAAACATCAGGAGCAACATCAGCATTTCCATCTTGAAACTGCAGCGTGGTGACGATGAGAAGTCTCAAACAACACAGATTCAGACCTGCAGGTTTTCTGCATCATTATTCTTCTCCAGAATCAGTTTCCAAATCAATCTTGTGCAGCTGATTTACAACAATATCACAACTTCAGACTGTGTAGCACTGAGTCGTGGTTGAGCAGAGATGTAGGTGAGCTGGTGTGCTCGAGCTGACAAAATGAGTAGCTACATCTGAGCCACTTTAAGGCCGGAAGGGATTTTTTTTTCTTTTTAAGGGAAAAATGTCTAAAAATTTAATGAATAACTGCAGAGGAAAACAAAATTCTCATTTCAATCAGTTTCTAGTATCAGACTGAAGATTTTAAAAAGCTATTTTGCTTCTAGTAAAAGCCCAACAACTTCTTTTTACTGTGACTGAATGAATCCAAACACTGAATTCTGCAGTAACCCCGATGAAGGAACTATTTAAGGCGGACTGGTCACATCATGGCAGATAATCAGGCTGCAGGTAAAGCAAACATTTCACTTTCCGCCATACTTTAAACTGACAGATGTAAATTTACACGTGAACAAACTAATTTCTTTGTATTTATGAAGGAAAAAAAATAGAAATGTGTATTGATTTTGAATTCATTTACCAAAAAAAGTTACCAGAACAATAAATGTTTCAACAGTTTTACCGTTTTAACTGAATTATTTTGCCTTTATTTTTGTAGTTTGTTTTTGTTGTACTTTCCTGTTTGAAAAGCTTTTATTTAATAACCCCTGTATACAGTAAATGTTGATGCCTTCCCTTGAGGCTCTACACTGTATGTTGGCATTTATTTAAAGAAAAAAAAGGAAAGCCAAGTATTCAGGCATCTGTATTTACAACTACACCTTAAACATTTATATTAAAATCCAATTAAACACCAAAAAAATACTACTTTAAACCTGACTGCCCTCTCAAATGTTGCATTTATTGATATAGTACTGATTTTGTAGGATTAATCGAATTTGTTTCTGCTATTTAATCCAGTTTTTGTCTATTTAAACAACTGAGAAATAACTATATAGTACAATCCAAGACAGCAAAAACTGTCCAAACTGACAGCCCTTAAAAAAAACCTGTTAATGAATTTGACGAGGAAAACATCCACATTCATCAGAATTTATTGTGAGGAACCATAGATAGATAGATATAGGGACTGATGAAAGGGTAGCTGTTCTGTGTAAGAGGTTTATTTTCTCCATATATTTTACAAATAGAAGCACAAATGTTCATCAGACTCTCGACAGCAAACGCGTCCGAAGTACTTTGAAGAGTTACAAGCGATGGGAAGGAACATCTCACCCGTTTATCTGCAAAGAAAGATGAATAAAAAAAAAAAGAAGGTAAGGACACGGAAGAGGGGGAAAAAAAAAAAAACACCTTGAGAGCTGCCGGGGGGACTGTGTTTAAGCTACTCTGTAAAGCTAAAGGGCATCTAGTCTATTATATCAAAGAATTTATGACACTCCTGCAGCCAATCCTCATCAAAGCGGCCCCAGAGGGATCCTAACGCTACAGTCTACCGCACGACGTTACCTCCTCTGTTAAGACAAGCCTCAGTTCCTTGAGTTCAGCGGAGGGTTGAGGAGGAGCAAGATTAGGTCAGAGAGGAGAATTAGTCATGAGAGAATGTGACAGCTTTTGGAAATTAAAGAAAAAAAAGACATGCATAGCTAAGAGGGAATCTTTTGAGAGGTGAGAAAAGAAAAGAAAAAAGGGTCTCAGAGGTCAGAGAAGTTAGCAGAGCGAAGGAGGATCAGAATGAAAAGGGGGTGAGTCAGAGAGGAGGATTCACAAGGAAGGAGATAGAAAAAGTGGCTGACTTTAAAAAAAAAAAAAAAAAAAAAGGAGAAGATGAATCACAAGAGGGACGGACGAGTGTCAAAAGATGGAGAAACTTACAGAGCAGCGGCTCCGGAGATGATCTCAATGAGCTCCTTGGTGATGACGGCCTGTCTGGTCCGGTTGAAGGTGAGGGTCAGCTTGTCGATCATCTCAGCTGCAGGTTAAAGAAAGACACAAACCGGTCGGAGTTTAATGCGAATCCTTATCGTGGAAGTTTCCTGCAACTTCCTGTCAAATTCCTTTACAACGAATTCAAGCAGCGATCTTGTCAGTGCATTATTCACAAAGTCAGACAGGAGAAATGTGCAAATATATGGATTTTTTAAATAATAAATTTAGTAAAATAATTTGTAAGCGAGAGTGTATTTATGAAAAACAGTGATGTAGCTTATTTGGTGCAGTAAAAGTCTATAAAACTGAAAAATTTACCGACTTAAAGTAGCGCACAAAGTCTCAAACAAGTGTAGTTTCAGTATTTAAAAACAAGATGCACATGAGAAGAAGGTGCAAAAAGGCGTAGATATTTTCCAGATTCTGCATATAAATAAACAGTAAGATTAAATTAGCTTGACTTGCTGGTAACTAGCTTGATTTCTATGTGACGCAACTTGTTATTACATCACAATAAGTCAGTAGATCAGCCGGTGGAAACAACTTGTCTGTCAATTTGGAGAACCATTAGCTTGATTAGCTTCTCACACGTGAAGTTTTACTGTGTTTCTCTGACTTTTAGTGTGCGAAACTGATAATGCCGGACTGCTGTTTAACAAAACGAGCCACCTGAAGATGTCGTTTTGGTCTGACAAACTGTGACGGACACGTTTCTCAGTTCTGACATTTTGTAACTCAACAATCAAAATAATCCAAAAACGGACCAATAATGAAAAAAGGTCAATAGTTGCAGCACCAACTTCATCTCGTATCTACGAGAATCTCATTAAGCGCTCATCAAACATATGAAATCTACTCCAAAACCAATCAGATATCTTCACCGTGCTTGTTTTCTCAGCGCAAAACTAAAATATAGTTCAGTTTACAACGATACAAGTCTAAAAAGCCCAAAGTAGACAGAATTATAAGGCTGAAACCAAAGAATATTTGGCCTTTTCACAACAAAATTGCTCCAAAAAACTGTCAGCCATGAACATTTGATCAACTAATTTTTCTTGAAAGTCTCTCAAAAAGGTTTTAGAGTTTCCTACGAGTTTAATAACCTCATTTTGCAGCCTGCTTTTCTCGTGGAAGACCTCATGTAGTGACCTCTAGATGATGTTTTAAACACACTTCAGCCCTTCAGATAATTGGGAAAAGTGTCAAATATAAAAAGGAGACACTACAGGTATCAGATACAGATGTGTACAGTGTGTCTGCCAGAGTCTTACAGGCGTTCTTGCTGGCGCTGTCCATAGCGGTCATCCTGGCGCTCTGCTCGGCGGTGGAGGACTCCCTCAGGGCCAAGTAGATGACATTGACCAGAGCAAACTCCTGGTAGTTCATCAGCACATCGGCGTCAATGTCATCATAGACGCCCATGGTCTCTGTTGAAGGCAGAAACATAAGATCAATACCTCTGGCCTGGACTCCCGAAGGCACCGAGTTCAGCTGTTCCGACAAAACCAGCAGCAATACCTGCGTTAGCGACCGTGTCTGTGGAGAACAGGGGCTTCTGGTCCGTCTTGTAGGAGATGACAGACCTGCACCAGGACAGATTTTTGTGGTTACGACATCTTTACACCTGAGCAAGAACATCTCAAGAACATCTGAAATGAAGAGAAAACCTGAATCTGTTGAAGATGACGGCGCCCTGATCGAACTCGTATCCGGAGTTGAGCAGCTCGGTGGCGATGATGGAAGCGTCGCCGAAGCTGGGGGGCTTGCGGCCGACTTCCTTGCAGTTCAGCATGATGTGCTTTCCGTGAGTTCTGGTGAGCAAGAGCAGGCATTAGAGCAAAAATAATAAATCTGTACACATCGATAGTTAGCACAATCCCAACAGCACAGCTTCCAGAGAGACATTATTAAACTTATGGCCTAAACACCTCTCAGCTTTGCAGAAAATTAGAAGAAACCATTCAGTTGCTGTCTATGGGAATCAATGCATTTGGTTCGTTGTTGATTAAGTATGTAAAGTGTGTGTGGTGTTTTCAACTTGCTTGCTTATAAAACTGCATGCACCAGCTTCCAGAGAGACATTATCAAGCTTTGGCTTAAATAATTTTCAACTTTGCAGAGAATTAGCACACAGAAAAAAAGTTGGAATATTCTAGAAACTGTGCGCTTAAAAACTTCACCTTGAGAATTAATCCGACTGCACACTGAGCTTCCATGTCGTCAGCAGTAGCATGACCAGAGCCAACAAAGCGATCAGAGTAATCACATTTTTACTTTAATAAAAACCTCAGCATCATAAAATGATTGGTTATATTATAAACAGCTTCTTTACAAAAAGTGAGTACAGAGAAGTCATCTGCCAAACGTCATCATCACAAATCTCTCCTAAACACTGGACCACAGCCACGTCCATCATCGGCGTCGTGACGAGGATTCGTACCTGTGCAGCAGACCTCTCAGCTTGTCTCCCACGTTGACCACCATCACCTCCTTGCCGGCGCCGGTCAGGTTGGCGATCTCGCTCTTGATGGTCTTGGCCACGCCGGAGTGGATGGCGCCGCAGAGTCCACGGTCGGAGGTCACACCGACGATCAGATGCTTGGCGGCCTTGTCCTCGGGGGCTTTGATTTCGGCCTTCTCGTACAGAGCTGGAAAAAAAAAAAAAGACGCCGACAATTAAACTCATTTCACACGATTTATATCACCTGAGGGTTAACGCGAAGGGAAGGTGGACTCACCCATAGCTCCGTTGCCATAGATACGTGCTGGCTTCAGCTGCCTCTCAGCACGGGCGTACTTGGCGGCGGCCACCATCTTCATGGACTTTGTGATTTTCTGGATGTTCTTGATGGACTTCAACCTGATGGTGACTAGAAAAAGAAAAGACGTCACTCACACTTTTAGAGCTAAGCAACAGGATGAGAATATACATGATGAGACGGCACACATTCGTTAATATTTCAATATTTTTTGTTTATTTGAACATTGTGGGCAATGCTAGAAGTAAATGACCAAAACTACATTCTGGTAATACTTTTCTTTTTAAACATCAGTGACTGTAAAATACCTAGGAAAAAAAAAAACAAAAAACGTTTTTTGCAGTGGGATTTAATTCACTAAATTAGCCCCAAAGTACAGCTACAGTGATTACTCAATTAGCTACTAACAGTTAAAATAATCACAAACTATTCTGATGATGGATTAACTGATTTAAGGAATATTTTATGGTTAAAAAAAAATAAAATAAAAAGCCAAAATTATCAGTGTCCAGCTTTTAAAATGCAAATACTTTCTGGTTTCTTTACAATTTTGAGTATTTTTTAAGGTATTTTGTGGGCCTTTTTCCCTTTATTTGACAGCACAGTGAGAGAGAGAGAGACAGGAAAGTGGGGGAGAAGAATGGGGGAAGGACGTATGGGAGAGGGCCATGAGCTGGATTCAAACTCATGACCTCCACATCGGGGACTGTAGCCCTGCACATGGGACGCCAGCTCAACCAGGTGAGCTACAGCGGCGCCCTTCTTTACACTTTTGTGACAGTAAACTGAATATCTTTGGGTTGTGGACAAAACAATACGTTTGATGAAGTCATCTTGGGCTTTTAGAAACACTGATGAATATTTTTCAGGTTTTTTTTGGTCAATTTAGAAAGTAAACAAGTCAATAATTTAATGCCAATAACTTTTCATCTAAAAACCATAACATCAACACTGATAAAACTACATGCACCACAGTAAAGTGTTTTATAATCCACTGTTTTCTGCAACAACACGGCCGGATTCTTGAGGAAATTCGTCACTATTTGCTTTTTAAATCATTTGTTGACAGCATCATCACCTTTTGCCAAACCTCTGTCGCGATCATCAAGTAAAGACCTTTTAATTTGTAGACTCAGAAGTTAAAACTGGGTCAGGGTTTATTATGGTTCACAATGTGCCTTTGAGGGGTCACTGTGCATGACAGTAAGCATGATCGGTCTGCGTTACTACTTTTGTCAAATTCATGCATTTTCCTTTTATTTCTGACCAACTGACAAAATGTCTATTATGCTTGAGCAACTGAAACCCCAATAAACAAAATTGGTTTAACAATATATAAACCTGTTTTATTCTCAGTTCTTTTTGATTTGTTGGTTTTGATTGTCCTATGGTGCTGGTTAAAACCTCTTTGAGCCATGCAAAAACATCCTCCAATGCAAGTAAATCTGCACGTTTTATAGCCAATTTTCATTTGCCTCAAGTGAATTCCTGCAAAAACTTGCAGAGCTCCTGAAGAGTTGCCTTTGACATTGACATTTTAGGGGGATCTCATTCAGATTTTGAGTCTGGGATGTTATCAGCATGTGTTTACAGTCTGGTATATGTTGTTGTGCAGTTGTCTTTACATAATATGCGAGTAGTACACAATAGTACTTACTGTCCTTCAAGGTTGCCATGTTCCTGACCTGCCCACTGTGAACACAAATAGTGCATGTGAGCTTCAGCTGCACGTCTTACAAACACATTACAACAGTATTAATAGAGTAAATATAAACACTGCTTTCTAGCTGCTGTTAGCATAAACTTAATTCAACTGAAACTTGCACCACGTAGACTTTTCTGCATGCTAACGGTGCAAGTACGCTAGCAAAGAAGAAGTTTGGCAGCTAATGCTAGCTCATAATGTCGCCGTGGCTGGAAAGTGTTAAACAGTGTAATCAGACAATCCGCAGAGACACTGATTTATTAAGTTTTTATTCTCTTTTCTACCCCCTCGACCAATGTCATTAGCTTTCAGCCAGTGCATGACAGTTAGCATTAGCTTGTAGCCGGCGGTCCATTCAGAACGCAGCACACCGCTGTCATTCATTAGCCGCGGCCTGCACGTTAGCTCGTCCTTGCTTTCAGAAACTGCACATTTTCCAGTCTAGAAGTCACACATTTACTCCAATGGCATATATACACTAAGAACACACACTAAAGGCACAGAAAACCACGGCTGTGGAAGTATTTTAAGCGTTTTGACTTTACCATTGTGGGGAGAACACCAACAAGCTGCTCCTGGTGAACATGGTTACTCCTATGAAGGTCAGACACGCAGGACTGCGCAGGCGCAAGTTAAAAGCAAAATGGACGAACGCTGCATTCAGGGACTGACAGAAATACCGTTAGATTAATAATCCGTTTAGGATTTCCCTTCTGAGGAGTTTGACTTTTATTTTAGTGCATTACAATAAACACAGACAAGAAAAGTTTAAAAAGAAAATTTAAAAAGCTGTTATAAAGTAATGTAAATATTTTTAGTGTTATTAATGTGTAACAACTTCACAGATTGTGCAGAAATGGGCAATTTTCTTGCGTGGGAATGTGCAAAATCCTACAGCATGTCATGTAAACAACCTAAAATGTGCAAAAAAAGGATAATAACAATAAGTTTCCACACTCTCACCTTTTATATTTCTCCCACAGCTAAATAATTCATTTTGTTAATGTTGATATAGAAAAATATCACCATATTTGCATTTTTTGCTAATATTTTTGCTTTTGCAAACTTTTACAAAAGCTGTGACTAGATGTAAACACAAAACATTTGCAGAAACATTTGGTCTAAATCAGACATTAGACATAATTTAAACATAAAACTTGGTAACTTTGGACTCAAATTTCCTTTCAAATCTAAGGACACAAACTGTAATGGTTGTTAATATAGACAGAAACATCATGACAGTCTTCTGGGCAAATTTTGTATTCACTTGTCCAGATTTTTACATTCTTTTCTAAAAAAAAAGAAAAAAAAAAAGTGTTTGCTGTTGAACCTTTTGTGATTTTGTCTGTAGGATTTTTTTTAAACAACAACTTTAAAACATCTCTCAAAAAAACACTGTCGACAGTACTGACTTATATTGATTTCAAATGCTATTAGTTTACTTTTAAAGTTTAATCTATTGTTTCATTCAATTCTATCCTCTAAATTTTAGTATTATGTAATGTTTTACATCGCACAGCTGGGTTGCAGCTCATGTTTTTGTAAGGACACTTCAGTTTTTCATTCCCATTCCTGTTTATATGCTGTTGTAAATAAAGTTCGTTCTGAGGGGAAAAAAAGAAAAAAGCCTTCGTAAAATACGAGACTTGTGTGGCGCTCCTGAATGCAGCAACGTGTATCGCGAGGTTTTAAGCTTTGTTCGCGAGATTTTGACGCTCCACACGCGGAAACTGTTTACCTTGGTAGCAGTTGCCCTCGAATTAGCCGCTAATCGAGAACAAAATCAACCAGTGTTGTGTCACTTTTAGCTTTAACTCGACTGTTTTCTGTTTTTGTAGTCGGTCAAAATGGGGAAAGCAGATTTTCTGTCTCCCAAAGCGATAAGCAACCGGATCAAATCCAAAGGTCTGCAGAAGTTGAGGTGGTATTGTCAGATGTGTCAGAAACAGTGTCGAGACGAGGTGAGATCAGCCTGAAATCTGTCTTTTTTTAAAGGTTTATTGTCACTGCGGATGTTTTAAACTAACGTGTGTTTGCTGTGTGTTGCCAGAATGGCTTCAAGTGTCACTGCATGTCCGAGTCGCACCAGAGGCAGCTGCTGCTGGCCTCAGAGGATCCCAACAAGTTCATGGACTACTTCTCAGAGTCGGTTTGGTTCTGTTGTCCATCCATCCATCTATTATCTATACACACGTTAGGGGTTTATCTTTAATAACACTCTTGTTTTCTTTCTCGCAGTGAGTTCAGAAGCGACTTCCTGGAGCTGCTCAGCAGACGGTTCGGTGAGAATGGATTCCTCCATGTTGTTTGTTTTTTTGTTTGTTTGTTTTGATCTGTGATTAAATCTGCGAAGGTTTGGTTCATCTAGAGTGAGCCTATGATCCATAATCAGTAATCAATGAAACCGATGACTGATATTTGGAACCAATACACTATCACACAAGTTTATTTAATTACATTTTCCATCTATTTAATTGTAGGAGAACATGTCAACATTTATCTTTCACTAAATACGTGTTTACTGATTTATTTTTCTCCTCCACAGGGACCAAGCGAGTGCACAACAACATCGTGTACAACGAGTACATCAGCGACCGTGAGCACGTCCACATGAACTCCACTCAGTGGGAGACGCTCACCGACTTCACCAAGTGGCTCGGCAGAGAAGGTGAAACACTTTAGATCCTCGAAACTGGTGAAAAACAGCAAAAAATACAGTCGATGGAAATGCAACCTGTTGGTATTGTGGGATGTTTGGATTGCAGCCTGGAGTAGAGTTGAACAATTAACTGTTAGAGAATAAAATCACAATTTGAAACAGTTCAAGAAGCTGCAATTTACAATTTGACTTTATTCAGAACCTTTGTAGGTGCGTCGGTGCAGCAACCAGCAATAATCAAACAGTTCCACGTAAAGGAAATGACGTGTTAAATGTGGCCACTAGGTTATGCCAAAGTTGACGAGACCCCCAAAGGCTGGTACATCCAGTACATCGACCGTGACCCGGAGACCATCCGCCGCCAGGAGGAGCAGGCCCGGAAGAAGAAGCAGGAGCTGGACGACGAGGAGCGGAGCGCCAGGTTCATCGAGGAGCAGGTCCGGAGGGGCCGCGACGGCAAGGAGGCCGAGGTGGGTTCCAGCAGGACAGAGTTTCACCTCACACGTCTCACTTTGTTGCAGTTAAGCTGACGCTTTCTTTGCTGTATTTTCTTCTGCAGGAAACTCCGGTTTACACGGAGCTCAAACGTGAAAGTGAAGAAGAAAAAGGTTGGTGTTGTTTCTCACGTGAGCAACAGATTTGCCAGAAGCTTTACCTTCCGCTCATCCTCTGCTTGCTCTTCTCTTGCAGTTGCCTTCAACCTGGGCGCCTGCTCCGCTGTGGCCGGTCCCTCCAAACCGAGGTACTGAGTCTCACAGCAGGTTGCTTTATTATTCAACCCAAACTTTCTCTTTCTAACTCGGTCTTTGCGTCTCCTAGTAGTTCTGCCCTCGGAGCGAGTGCTCTGAAAGCGGCGTCGTCCTCGGTGAAGAGGAAAGACACGTCCTCCGACTCCAGAGGGGAGAAGAAGAAGAAGTCTGCCCTGGAGGAGATCATCGAGGTGGGGATTCTGGATGTGTTCGAGTTTAGTTGGAAGTTATCGCTGCTCGGTTTTCTGATCAGACATGTGATGCTTTTTTTTCCCCGTTCAGATGGAGGAGAAGAAAAAGAAGAAGCAGTCGGTCAGAACTGATTACTGGCTGCAGCCCAACATCGTCGTCAAAGTCGTCACCAAGAAACTGGGAGAGAAGTACCACAAGAAGAAGGCCGTCGTCACGGTAACGACTGCACATCTTCTCATCAAAACCAAACACAGAGAGCGCGTTATTATATATTAATAAACACTATTCTCGTTTTCACTGTGCAAAATCTGGCACAAGAGTTTTCCAGCTGCTTTCTGTTCATTTTAGGATTTTTCTTTTAAATCTCTTACTGGACTGGCTCCTTATTATTTATCTGATATGCCCCCTTAGATCCCCAAGATCCTCTAAATCTGGTCTCCCCAGTGTAGAACTGAGACATATTGCAATGCTGCATTATGCATCTTTGGTCCAATTCATCTGAAATAATCTTCCAGTGGAGATCAGAGCATCAGATTTAGTAGAAAGCTTCAAACCAAACCTTAAAATGTGTGTTTTTAGGCTTGTTTTCATCTATTTTTTTTATGTAGTTTCATGTAATTTACTGACACTAGACCGATTTATTACCTTACTATAGGATTTTGTAACTTATAATCATATGTTTTAGCATCATTTTCATCCTCTTCTCCTGTTTTTATTGCTGTAAAGCCCTTTGAGTTGCATTTGCTGCATGCGTTATGCTACACAGAGAGGGTCACCACTAGTGTTTTTCTATTCTGCTGCAGGAAGTGCGAGACAAATACGGCGCCGTGGTGAAAATGATCGACTCCGGAGACAAACTGAAACTGGACCAGAACCACTTGGAGACGGTGATACCTGCGCCAGGTAAACCGCCCAAACCCTCCAACCCACAAAAGCTTTCTACACATTCCTAAATGCAGAAGACTCAAACTCGTTGTGAAACGTCCTGCAGGTAAACAGGTTCTGATCCTGAACGGTCCGTACAGAGACATGGAGGCTGTGCTGGAGGGCATCGACGAGAAACAATTCAGCGCTACGCTCACAGTCGACTCTGTAAGTAGCTTTAGTTTTTCCATCATCTAAAGCAGGAAAGTGTCACGTGCTAGTCTTGTTTTATTGTCTGAGTCTGTATAAAGATTTAAACTGTGGCCAGAGGACACAAAAATAATCTGACGGTTATTTTTTTCGAATAATAGATTAATTTTATATTTACCAAAGTCCAAAATCTTCACGATGCTTCATGTTTCCAACCAGCTGTTCAAAATATTCATATACAAAGCCATAAAACATGTCATAAGGCAGCAAATCTTCATGTTTAAGACGCTAGAATTTAGAAAATATTTGGCTTTTGTGCAGAAAAATAGTCTCAGCAACGAATAATCAGTGCAGAGTTCTTATGATTTCTGCAGAAATATCAGAACATCTCAAACTTTTCTGTCACAGTTTTGCCATTTTTCCTGATGATTAAACTGTAAACTGTAAAATGTGTTCAGCCAAAACAAAAGCTAAGCTCACAAAAAAAAACTTTTTTTCCTCATTTTATCTTTAAGCAGTGGGTTGATAATCCACCCCACAAGCCTTAAAAGAGAATTAATAGAGAAAACACTGAACTAAATGTTTGGTATGAAGTCAAACAATCTTCCCGATCAGGCGTATTTCACTTATTTAGTCTAAAAATAATCAAATTTCGCTTTCTAATAACTGTTGCCTGGATTCATATTGTGTGTTATTGGATGTTCTCCTGCAGCCATCATTAGTTTTATTTCTTCTTCTTGTTAAAAAAACATTACAAAAATCAAATCAGGGCTTTTCAACCAGTCATCTAGGATTCCTAATTCTGTCACAGCTGCTTCTCATGCAGAACTCAGGGTCTTGTTTCCCCACAACAAGACTGTAGTTTATGTTATTTTTATGTACCGTGCTTTATATGTGTGTCATGTTTTAAATTTGTAACGTGCAGGAGTTTTAAAATGTGCCGTATGAATCACATTTCACCTGCTTGCTCTGTCAGGGTCAGCACAAAGGGAAGCGAGTGGACGTCGCCTACGAGGATTTCTCCAAACTGGCCTGAACAAGCAGCCCTCCACTTTAACACCTCAGGAAGCTTTTTTTTTTTTTGCCGAGGGACTCTACTGTGTCAGAGTTAATTCCCCAAGACTCACCTGTACATGTACATATCCCACAATGCACCTGCTTGAGGACTCGGAGCGACGTGTTCGGTTTGTTTAGTTTCCTTTTATTTTTGTCTCAATATTCAAGTCGATCCCAACGTTGTACATTTTGTCCAAATAAATTTGATAAAAAGGAACTTCTGTGGAAAATAGTGTTTGTATGAAAATTACTAAGAAATGCAGTGTGACAAAAAAGTGACATGTTTTTTTTTTCTTGCTCTTTAAAGTGGTTGTATTTCTACTAACATTGCTGCTGGTAATAACAGCAGCACACCGTACTGAATGTGTGCTGCTGCTGCTGCTGCTGCTCAGGGCATCTGGAGGAAGCTGTCTAGATCCGGGACGATGTAGTCGGTGTAGTGGCCGTCGATGAAGCCCTTCCCGCTGTTGTGAATGAACCAGCAGTAGACGTTGGAGCCGCGCCTCGTGTCGCGTCGGTAGTCCTTCTGCCAGCCCCTGACACGCAAACACAACAAGTTATGGTTGGATCATGAGGTCGTAAACAAAAGTTTACATCCACTCGTAAAGAGCGCGTAAATCGTGGCAGTCTTGAGTTTCCAGTGACTCCTAGAACTCTGAAGTATCTATGATGGAATCACTGAAACCTCTTTGTCATAAGAAACAAACATCCATTTTGGTTCTTTCATAGATTTCTGCTGGGTCAGATATGTACATACAAAGTGCTAGTATTTGGTTAAATGTCTTTTAAACGGCCATTTTCACCTCAACTAGGCGCTTTTCGTAGCCATCCACAAGCTTCTGGTTGGATTTTTGACGACTCCTCTTTACAGAACTGGTGCAGTTAAACTACATTTGTTGGCTTTCTGTCACAGACTTGTTTCACAGTCTGCAGGTTCTTGATGGGTTTAGGTCAGGACTTTGAGGAGGCCAGTCTAGAACCTTAATTTTAGCCTGATTTAACCATTTCTGTACCACTTTTGATGTGTGTTTGAGGTCATAGTCTCGTTGGAACTGTGTCCAACACCTTCTGGATGATAATTTTAGGTTTTCCAGAAGAATATTCTTCATTATTCCATTTATTTTGTGTAAAGCACCAGTTCCACTGGCAGCCAAACAGCCCCAGAGCATGATACTGCCACCGCCATGCTTGGTGGTTTGAGGGTTCATGGCCTCACCTTCTTTCCTCCAAACATATTTCTGCTCGTTTTGGCCAATTTCTGTTTTGTCTGACCACATATCTTCCTCCAGGAGGCCTTTTCTTTGTCTGTGTCAACAGCAGCAAACTTTTTTCCATGTTTGTGGCTGAGTCTAATAAGTGTTTGACTATTTAAATTGGCTCAGAGAATTCACCAGCAATAGTCAATCATAATCACTCACGAGAAGGTAAGATGTCGTGTCATTAAGAAAATAAGGTTAACGCAGCTTTCTTCATCATCAAAACTGATAATTCAATTTGCTGTATGTACATGTTTGATCCGGCAGATTTTGTCATATTTCCAGAAGACCTGTTAATCTATGAAAAAAAACAAAATGCATGTTTTTTTTTGTTGTTGTTTTCTTTTTGTGACGAAGATGCATGTGCCTAAACTCCATCATTGAAATCTCAGGGTTACCAGAGTTGGTTTTGTTCAAACTTACCTGGTGACAAGCAGCTTGTTGCCCTTCACCTCCATGGTGGCCTCCTTCTTCAGAGGATCAGCTCCTTCGTGGATGTCGTACACGCTCACCTCAGGCAAAGGCTCTCTGGAAAACTGCCCTGTTCAAAAGGTGGCATTTTTAACTTCATTACAGTTGGTTAACCACCGTACATGGGAACGTAGTGGACAATACTTGGGGTTCATCGATCTTAATCTATATGTAAAATGGTTTTGAACCTGTTTTAAAGGTTTTCCTGCCACTGCAAGAATAAAACAATCTGTAGACCTCCAAATTCCAGTCAGATCCTCAGTGAGAAACATGTTCCATACAGCTGTACTTATGTAATTTAATTTCAGTGTAATAACTTAAGAACTTTTAAGTGGAAGATCTTCAACATTCATTGCAAAAATCAAACAAAAAAAGATCAGCGTTATTGCAGATATTAAATATGACACATAAAAATGGCTTTCAACAGAGAATAATCATGTTTTGTTTAGTTTTTTCTTCAGAATATCATCAAAAACATATAAGACGAGTTTTAAATGAGTGGCAACGAGGCCTCAGGTGTAGAGTAAATCCCTTCTGCTGGACTAGTTATTTATACATGTAATTAATGATCATCTGAGTTTCTCTTAAAGGAACTGTATATGATGGAAAACCATTTACAAAAATAGCTGGTAGTAAAACGTTAACATGTTAAATTTGGATGTTTTAAATTATGGAAAGACAAAAGAAAAAAAACCCACTAATGTTTGGTAAACAAATTGTCAGGATCGCTCTTTTGTGTTCAGTGTCAACAAGGAAGGTATTATTCAGACTGAAGCAGTACTTTTTGAACAATTTTTAACATTCTACAAGCAGAAAACGTCTTTTAATGGCGTAACATTGGTTAATTCACATCAGATTTTGGACACTTTGGCGTTTTCCGACTTAAATTCATCTTGGTCGATGGTTTTTCTTTGTCTTTTATGTATTTTGTTCGCAATCCTTAGAGTAATATCAGATATCAAAGCTTAAACAGATGTTAACCTGACTTACAGGTTATCACTCCTCAGCTCATCACAGGCTTCAACCCTTTTCTCCAAAGTCTAGATTTTCCTCTCGGCCCAATAATTTACAAAGACGGCCTCCTTTAAGGAACCTCTGGCTGAATTTGTCCATGTTTATGTGCAGTAAGCATCAGAGTACCATCCTGCAGCCATGAACCATGCATACGTACCTATGAGTCCGTGGACCAGAGGAGAGTACTGGTTGTTGTTGGGGATGTAAACACCCAGGAAGTCGACGTTAACCGGATTTTTCTTCCACACACGGTGAAGCAGCACCATCACCTGGATGTTATTGTTTATCGTGATGGTGACCTGAGAGTTCCTCACGATGGAGATCCTCACCCTGAAGCAGAAACACAGCAACATGAAACCAAACTGAGCCTGGTGTCGGGACAGAAAGGCCGACAGTTGGAGTTAAAGGTGCTTCAGGTACCCGTCCTGCGTGATGTCGGCCGTGGCCTGCCAGGTGAAGGTGTGGTTGTTGCTGCCGTCGGTCATGGCGATGCTGTCGGTGCTGACCGTCACGCTGACCCCGTCCGGCTGGTAGTAGACGGAGACGACGCCGAAGTAGGTGTTGAATTTTCTTTTGTGCTTAGATCTGATTAGCTGTCCGTTGACCGCAACACCTTCAGGACGAGACAGACGGTTAAAGAGGAGGTTTAACACTTTAAATCTGATGTGACTGACAGTTCAGTAAGCATCAAGGTACAAATGTGTCTAGTATAGTCTGTAGATATTGCTAAAGGTTGAGCATCTTTGCTACCTGGTAGCTAAGGTTGATGTAATACGTGCACTGAAAAGAACAGTTAGAAATATCAAGAAATGTGCCTTTTAACACTTTTGGCAAGAGTTGGAGGAGAAGATTGATACCTCAGTCATATATGTGTCGGATCATTGTGAAACTACAGCCAGGAGACGCTTAGCTTAGCTTAGCTTAGCATAGCTTAGCTTAGCAAATCAAATCAAATTTATTTGTGCAGTTTCTTTTAAAACAACCTAAACTGCCAAATTGCTGCACGTGTTATGTTACAGGAAACAACAAATATGTGTGCAAAGACAGCAGGTCAGAAAGCAGAAT